TTTTTTTGACAGAAATTGACAGTAAACACGTACATCATATTTATTTAATCAAATACAACATTCGAAGCAACCTCATGGAATCAACACTAAAGTGACTTGGCGCCAACAAACTTAAAAAGTAAAATTTTAAACAAAAAAATTGGCAATGTATGCAGTTCGTCTTTATGCTAGTAAACTTTTCGAAATATCGTGGCTTGTCAAGCCAGCATGCAACTCATGGGAGAAATCGTGGTCTTGTGGTTACTACGTTAAAATATTTTTGTGTTCACAAAATCGTCAAGGTGATAGGACCAGTAAAGGGAAAAATTCAATTCCTAATTGCCAGCTACTCGGGATATTTGCGAGAAACATAGGTCAAAAGATGCAGTGTAAAAGCCTCTCGACTCCTATTGACCCCGTAAGTTGGGCTGCCGTATTTTCTGGACAGTTAAACAGGCCGATAGAACAAGCCACAACTCTTCTAAACTATGAGAGGGATTTCAAGGCGAATTAGCCATTAATCATTAAAGTGGGTCGCTTGATTTATTCAAGGTTAACTTCCAATTACTCCCCTGTACAAAACCATTCAGTTCCGATTTTTAATATCCATTCATTTACCACCGGTCGTCACCCTGCAGAAATTTCTCGAATTGGCTATGTTCCATTGGTTCCTCAAGTTGTGGACCAGTAAGTTTAAGATAAACAGCCGAATATCTGGACTTAGGTATGAAGTTGCACAGCGATGGTCAATTGCGCAGTCCTTCTCAAATCTGCCATCTATCCAAGTACACAATAAAACGATATGTCTTTCAACGAATGCAGGTGCAAATGGATTGTCACTTCTCATGACACATAAAGAGAAAAATAGGTATCTGCGGCAGACATTCCTACATTACTGAGGGGTGCAAATTACACGAGCTTTGGTTTATTGCATTGCTCGGTAGAAGAGGCACAAAAAGTGAAGCATTGCCCGATTCATGTTCCTCACGCAGCAGTAGAGTCATTTTTAAACCCGTGTTCACTCCCGCGACGCGTGTGTGTCCGCTTCCGTAGAAAAAAACGCCAAGGAACACGCAACCTGTGGCAGTCAGTTAATTTGTGTCCACTCCAGGCGCGTGTGCATGGGGAGGGTTTGGTTCATTATAACGGTCGAAAGTGTGGTGGCAGAAGGTGTTTCTTTATCCACCAGTCAGCTAACGGTCGAAATTCACCCTCAAACGTGGCCTTCATGAGTGAAGTTAAAGGAGAATGTTCTACCGCTATGCTAAAGACATTTTTTGCCTATGCAGCATAGAGATCACCACTAAATCTTTCTACGTAGCAGCGCACGTCAAGTTTTCAAGCTACCTGACTAGAGCAAAGGAGATTGAGAAGACTTTGAACATTTGATGGCAAGAAGCCTGATGGGCATCTTCCCGATAACTTCGATAACTAGGTGTTCTAAATTTGGTTCCAATCAGAACCAAAGTAAAAAATGCTAGCGTGTCCTATGGTAATATTTTAGCCATTCAAGCTTGCTTCGTGCAGCATTGACCACTCGAATTTTTATTACTGTTTTCAACAATTTATGCGACTTATTGAATTCTATATCCCAGCGTACTACAATGGCTTGTCAGAGTCGCACAAGAGGAAATAATGGCGAAAATTTATTTTCCATTCTCACCAATATTAAGAAATAGAACCCTAGCGTTTGTGTGTAATCAGGACCATGATCCAAAATGGCTTCCGTTTCAACTAGATTTACGTGCCGTTTTAAACAATTTGATATGAATGCAGCGACAAATTATACGATCATTAAATCCAAAAAGCTGTTGCCTTCCAAATTATAATTCTCAAGGCATATTCACCTTTAACTGCCCATTAGAGTCCAAAGACCATATCATCATTCGTCGAAACTTTTTCTGGTTTGATCCACTTGTGTTGTTGGCAGCTCACTGCATTCTGTGTGGACATTCAACGGTCGGCGTGGGACACGACTAGCTCTGACTGCCCAGGTCTTGGCACCCATCTTGAACTGCAATGAGATGCACGCGATCTGCTGTTTGACATGGCGAACACATGACACGGTATTTTCCCACAAGCATTTATGCTATTTTGCACCATCCGACAGTTTGGTGAGGTGGAGGGTCTCTGACTTCGGCATCAGACATGCTGACAGATTTGTACAATTTTTACCACTTGATACGGGCAGCAAAGTCGTTCACTTTCGTTTCGAATGAAACAAGATACCCCCAACACAACGAAACCCAAACGTCAAATATTGCCATGAAACACTTGAGAATGTCAACAGTGCAAAGAGATAATGTCAGTTTACTTAAAAGTCAGATTCCTGTCACCACAGCAACACAGGTTAAATTGTGTGCACATTTCCTAGTGCTGAAAGCTATATGGCCATTTACCTGGAGCACTCAATCCTCTTCTGGAATTTTGAAAGTGCACAGCTTAAGTTCAAACAAGGCTGGTGGTTGTCGGGCCTTTGTACACCATGCTAGGTCTAGCTTCAATATTCAGCTTGATTCAAACTCCTATTTAAAAACTACTGAGCGTCACTTTGTTGGTCAGGGCTCGTTATTCCGCAAATAATCTCCTTTAGAGGAAATTTTGACTTAATATCCTCACATAAGCGACTGCACAAGCCTGTAATCGAATCTCATTGTCTACTCGATTTGTCTACATAGAGCCGAAATTTTGACTAATATTTTTAGTGCACAGTAGAGCATTTTCTGCTGCCTTGTTTATTTTTGGTTATAGAAGCAAGAAAAGTTTTTCGTATGTGAAATAAGTGACAGTCGTGTGCATCTGTCTGCCAGTTTCATCTGGCCGTGAAAGCTGGAAATGAAATAAAAGTACCATAATTTTGGTCTGTCAATTAAAGTACAGAAATGACAGTGTTGAGGGCCTTGATTTTCATGATAAATACACTGACCTAGGTACTTTTAACTAAGCTGAGTAGCCTCGACAGCACGCTCATGTAACTATTATGTTTTATTACATCATTAATTCATAAAAAAAGTGTTTTAGGTATTTGTGCTATTTAAAGAAGACGTGGAAATAGAAAGAAAGGACACTGCACTGGATTTTTCAGTGTAATTTTAAGTACAATAAAGCTACAATTGCAACTAAGCATAAGAACGGGTCGGAAGCAAAAGAACTGGGCTATCCTTACCTGAAAGGTAATGTGGTCGTGGCCACTGGATTTAGGCTTTTTTCTTTCAAAAATAATTGCATAAATTGACAATACATCAGTAGTTTCGTTTTCTAAAACGCTTTAACAGTTGACTTTGTTTCTGTAGCAGTGACAGCCTATTTTTTAACGCTCCTCACTGCACGAATTTTCCCAAGTTTTAAAATGAAGATTCACAGCAATGCCGCTTTTGCCGAAGTCACAGTATTGCAGCCTGGAAATAACGCCAATCACATTTATCACCTCAGAAGAAGGCACTAGACTTCATTGTAGCGGAATCGGAGGTGCATTGACGAATAGACTCATTGTTTACGTTACGGATTTGTTTACAAGGCGAACCGGCATGCAAGCTGCGTAACCAATTAATATTCCCAAATCCAAACAGTTGTCTACAACGATGTTTAATCGTTATTGCCTTGAGGATAAGAATTTAAGCAACTTCGAGCCAAGCATATTACTCTGGGGTGCCAGACCATTACCAAACATTTTATGTAGATGGTACCCATAAATGGTGATTTTCAGAAAATCACCATTTTGATTTAACGCGAGTTTTGCTTATCGTTTCCACCTAGATGAGAGAAAGGAGTTATTTGTATATTGGCCTTACTTAGATTCACCGATATTCCGAATAAGGTCTCTGAGATTTTTGCCTTATCTCAGTGAAAAAAGTTGCTTTTTGTGCAGGTACAGCTAATCGTGATGTAATTTTAATAAGTGACTTCCTTCAAAGAAACCTATTTCAAGCGCCATTTTAGTTAAATCCCAACAAATGTTCGTTGAAAATTACAAACATTACAAACATTATTTTAGCGCTAATCTATTCGACAATGGTGAAGAGACTAAGGTTCTCTGCTAATCCACATTTAGGCAAAGAAATATGATTCTGAGCACTATTCCTTCATTGAAGTTGTGCAAGAAGTTGACTTGATGGAAGTTTGTTGAAACGAAGGTGGACGTGGTCGGCAGTTGGAGTGTCGATGGCCCTTGGGTGGAATCTAATCTAACCTAATCGCTCCGCAGCCATTTGTGTGGGCCGCCAGCTCTCCCTTGACCCAGTTTAGCAGCCACCACACGCAACGTTAGTGTGCATCAAATGTTTCAAATTTTTTGCGTCGCAACCGACACTTAGTCTGGTTTCCTCAATATCTCCTTTCACGCCACGCAAGGCATCTACTGGGCACTGTTTCAGGTCAGACACACGTTTACTGCTAAGACGTTTTCAAATTGATGAGGCCAAATGAAAAGGACTTGCGATTAAACGAAGTGGTCTTTACAAATGTTGGGTCTAGATAATCCCATTGATTTTGTATCTAATAAGGATAAATTAGCAAAGCGAAGCAGTCCATAGGAATTTGGATAGCTTAGTTACTTTTTACAGTGATTGATGGACTATGTAAAAAAAATATACCCACGACTGCATCTAGTGTTTTCTAGTGAGTTGGTCACTGAAGGAAGGTAATTTTTAAATTGTGCTGACCAGATTTAGTAGCTGTTAACCAGCCACTAATACTTTTGCAGTTTCATTAGAATTCGTTTTTATTTGTACTATGAAAACGACTGATGTCCCTATGGCCTAATTCTCAGCTTACAAGATTTTTCAAGTCTTTAATTCCTAACCTTTTGCCCAAGTTGCCTCAATCAGCCAGCACAGTGTTGCACCAACACACTCGCGTCCAATTTGTAAAGTTCTGATTGGCCAATGGTTACTCGTGCGTCGATTGGTCAGACTTGGCGTCAAATTAAAAGCGCGTCGGAGGCGCATTCTCAGTAGACTTTCGCAATGCAAATTTTCTCGAAATTGTTGCAACAACTGCGTTTTTCATTATGAAACCCTAACATGGCCATAACGAAGCAGGATAATACTCTTACGTTTTCCTTTTTGCTCCTTTTCCTGATCATCTTAGCAGGGGCTGAAAGACTTCATCACAAGGACCTAGTTCAGCTGCACGAACAGCATCTTGATGGGGTGCCGGTTTTCGTCCAACAGCCAAAAGACGTGTATTATGCGTGGAGAGGGAATCCAGCTGTGTTTGAGTGCATCGCCGAGCCTGTTTCCCACGCCGTGGTTTTCTGTGCTGATAAGACATTTCCCTACATGGGTGCTGAACACACCGACGAACATCGGCTGCAGGTGACGCGGCTTGACTCAAACGGAAAGCTGGACGCTAATGGCGCTAGGTGGCACATGCGACTGCCTCTGCGCACAAACGACCTAGAAGAGTGGTTCGACGCCTACGTTTGCACTTGTGAGGTTTGGAATCTGATTCCAGCACTCAAGCAAGTGAAAAAAGTTTTCAGTCGCAATTCAACTATTTTAGAAGCTTGTAAGTTCCTCAGCGCACATAAGTTCTAGTTTTTGCCTCTTTTTTGCGAGAAACTGCTTAACAACAGTGCCTTGCTTGAAGGGTAGTTCGTTGTCTAATTTTTTTGCAAAAACGCGTCAGTGGTAGCAACCAGATAGTGGGCAGGTAAACAATAATGGTCCCATTTTTTCTCGATGTTCACATGTCCAGTAAAGGAAAAGAAGAGTCATCCTTAACAATGCTTTGCTGAGTAAGTGTATATTCAAAAGGCTACTCGCTGAATGAATTCTTTAAATTCTCTAATCAATTTGGCGTTGCTCTGAGTACAGAATTAATCAGCTCCTAGAAATCAAACCAACTACTGGTGTTGGCTGAAACTCTACGTGGCGGGGAAAATTGCGGTGTTCTCCTCAAACTTCTATAAATTGCACTCAGCCATTGCCTGCATCCAACTTCTTATACGGGCGAATCAGTGAAGCCACAAAAATTTCAGCTGATAATTAACAGATATGAGAAAAGTTATTATCAGGAATCTTTTCGACAGAATTGATTTGACTTCAGCTGTCCGTTTCTGCCACGTTTGTGCTTAAAAATATTTTGATCTAACGAAGTTGAACTGGAAATAATCTTATTTGTTCTAGGAAGACTAACAGGTGTTCATTATTTCTTTCATTTGTCACTCGTATAAATTTAGTTCAGAGCAAAATTTTCTCGTAAATTCATCTCATAAATCAGTCGAATCAAGAACCAGTCCCGCACATGTTTTCAATCGGGTGATATGATGTGTAGAGGCGCTCTTTATTAGAAAAACGCCATGTACCAGAGAAATGTAACGAAGTGTGGGGCACTTGCATGTACACATCTGTAAGTAATTCGATCATCTTGATTTACCACAGCTGTCTAATGTGACCGCTGCCTGCCTCTTCGTAACTCCTGCCCTCCTCTGTTGCACCATCACCATTCACGCATAAAAGGAACGGTTGTGCGTCATTTTAAGGTAGAAAGGACGTGAGCCATGCTGACAGGGACATCTGTCCGTGTTTGCGGTAGAGATGGTGGCAACTGAATGCTTGAAACGCCTTTGTCATTGCACACTCCCAGGGTAAAATGAAGATTAGAGAAAGTCAGGCTAAAGGAGGCTGTTTGGCTTCAGATGCTTCACTTTCCAATACGAGGTCATTTTTCCATGGAAATAGATGACAGAATGGGATGAATTCTTTGAAGGCGTCTGTTCAGAAGAGCGTGATACTGGTGAAATCGGTTCGCAAACATGGAGATATCCAGCATCGTTTTTTCTTTCCTTCGGCCTCAGATGCATAATAAATCTCGCGCTGGTCAAAAATCGGTTGACGGGGGTGAGGCGATGGTCGTCGTGTTTGCGTGCGCCTCCTTCATTAAGCAACTTCACACCTGTGTGCGTGTGTGTCTGTGTGAGCGGGTGGCTGGACGGGTGTGAGCCCAGGCAGCACATGTGGCGCGCGGATATACATAAACTTAATCCGACCGACACGTTTCTAGGATGTGTCGTCCTCCAGAAAGCGGACAATTGGGGTTGCGATTCGGGTAAATTAAAGCTCTTTTAAATGCATTGAGTCACTGAGGCGACAAAACTCCTCTCAATGACCCCCGTCCCCCAGCACACGGAATCTGAAGGTGGTTTGGCGTTTTGGGGGAGGGTGGTGTGTGGTCCGAAGCGGGCCTCTGAAGCCTGGTTACTAGGGCTCGTTTCTTGTGATTTATTGCCTTTGTATTTGTAGTTATTCCCCTATCTGTCTAGAGCTCCTTATTTTCCTTCCTGCCGTTTCTCCCCCCCAAAACCACATTGACTCAATACCCATTAAAAACTTTAGTCAAATGGCCTGTGATATAGTCCCTTTGTGATTGATATACAGTCTTGAGGTGATATGTTCTGGTTTGTGAAATGACCTCTCACCAGCGCGGTTGTTGCCATCAACTTCACGTTTCGGTAATGACTTAGCCTAGGGGGTAAATTTACCGATTACACACCTTGTAGCCATCGCATCCTTCCAGAAGAGCTTTCTGCAAATTTTTTGGCGCGTGGATTTTAGCAATAACCCCTTTAAGCATAACTAAGTAATCAGGAGAGAGCCAAGCACCAAGAAAAAAAAGGTCGTAACTGACAGAAAGCCGTTTGGAGTGCCTAAACCGCACAAAAACTCTCCTGTCCATTAAAGCACCTTCTTCGGTGGTCACTCTGCTACCACCACAGGGTGGAGTTTGGTGGGTTTCATTTCCCCTCATATCGAGTTGTGCGGTTGCGCATGTGATGGAGGTGTTGGCAACTTTAAGTATAATGACTGCTCTTTACGTCGCACAGTAAAGCGGCAGTTTCATCATTTTTTGCGATTCGCTTAATCCACATTTGCATCATTTAATAAATTTTTGTCGTAGTCATTGCACCAAAAAACCTCAATGTCTCATATTGAAATGTTGAATTAGGTCGCCCACTTTTTATTGGTAACCTGCACTGTGCACATACGTATTTGTCATCCGTCCACTTCTTACTTTTTTCTGTTTCATCCACAGATCTCGACCGCGAATTTCAACTAGAACCGATACCAGAACACCTTGTTAAAGGTCAACGGCTTCTGCTGTCCTGCCAACCCCCCAAAGGGGAACCTGCTCCTAAGGTAACATCCCACATGTGTCATCCTTTCCTTTAACATCCAACGGAAGACGGCATTTAATGAACATTGGTCATGTTATTGGCTAACACTTAATCAATGCTAAATGTGTATTGTTAAGTAATCAGCATATGCGACATAGTTGTCAAAATATCGAAAATTCAGACAATGCACGCCGAATAACCACCTTTATCCCACACCTCAAAAACAGTCTCTCTCTCGTGAGTAAGAAGAATCAGAATTTATTCCATGCAAAAATAAATCAAAATCCCTCCAAATAAATTTTTTATTTAATCAAGAAAGTGTTTCTTACCAGCCTGAAATCTCTGCAACGTTAATTCAGTAGTTACGCAATTGTTTAAAAAGGGTAACATCCCGAGAGCCTAATATTGAGTGGGCACAGTACATCGAGATAATAGGCTCTTCACGGGATCTGCCCTAAATAGGTTCCCTCCTTTCAAAGACTCAGGTGAGTTGCGCCTGTGAACCAGACCTGGCGTTCTTCCATTATTGCAAAATTTGCATAATGGAAGTACTTAGTTTGGATAAACCATTGGGACGTCAAGAGGCAGATCATTCATTAGTCCCCGCTTACCCAATATCCCGACTTGTTTTTATGCCCGATTGTTCACAATCTGCCTAAGCATTTCTGCTCTTCAAATATTTTTTCACCAATTTCCACATACCTTTCACCCGTGGCTCATGTTGCACTGATTGAGATAATTAGCAATTTAAATAGATGCTAGTCATCGAATCACCTATTTCAAGCCAACTTTCGCTGTCATAGTGTAAAATGCAACGTAATTAACCTTGACTAGTGCACAAACCCTAGCTTTTCAAAGATACTTGTTACTTTGCTGGCACTCTTGTTTGTCTAGAAAGGTAACACCTTCAAGCTGTTCCAAGGGAGACAAATTCAGTAGAAATTTATGGGCAAAATCACTGTAAAAGGTGTTAAGGAGAGATTATTTGTTCCTAAGTTTGAATTCTGTGCAATCTTCTGCTGTCTCGGCTTTTTATAGACAAAGATGCGTTTGCATTTAATAAAATTGTCTAAATGTAGCACGTCAACGAATGCATATCCTTAGCTAATAGCTCAAATCTATTTCTGCTTCTAATTTGCGTGTTTATGGATTGGTTTTACAGTGTTTGCATGGACCTAGTCTGTGCTCGGAACACACCCAGAAAATCGCTAAAACGCCCTGGTATTGTTCAGCAGCATTGAAAACAGCACAAGCATTACTGCACTTCAGACTACTCTGTTATAGTGATTTGAAGTCGTTCTGCAATATACACGTCCACTAATTTATGGCAATTATAGCAACTTATTAGTTTACTGCATTTGGTTTGCCTCATTTAATTCTGAATATAGCTTATAGGCAAGTGTCGAGGCTGCTGTATTTTAAAAAGACAAAAAGTCCTACACGAAGTAACCTTTCGGCAAATATTCTTGTAAAAAATACTGCTGCATCGCTAAGCACAAACGAATTATGCAAGTGAACTTGCATGCACATGTCGTACATCGCAACCGTGGGTAAGTTGATGGATTGCTGGACGAATCTAAATTTCGTGCGAAGTTTGGTGGTCAAGCAAACTAGCCACAAGACGTGGTGCACAGAATTTGAATTTCAAGCATGTTTTCGTAGGCTGCTTAAGACACCACGCCAAACCATCATAGGTGTTTTAGCAGATTTAAATCTAGCTCTGTATTACTAATGCAATTTGCATTTCAGCCTCCATACTAAGTCAATTGCATTTAGTTCTGATAAACACAAAATGTTCTTTCCCATGTTATACTTAAACTCAACTAGTCTCACTTTTCTAAATACTTGGCCAGGTCCCAACCCTTGGTTTTCTGTTTTGACTACCTGAATCCACGAAGGAAGTAACTGACACATTCACTCCTCAAATCAATCCGCTTATAGCTTTTCAGTTGCAATTTAGACCCCGGTTAATCTGCACTTAGAGTTGGAGAGGCCCTGTTAAATTTCCAAATTATTTCTGTTCTCAAAACTAACTCATCGTTCAGAGGTGAAATAGACTGGGCAGTATGATTCTCTCTTTGTCAAAGATAAATACATGATTATTGTAGATGTGGTAGTTATTTAATAACACACCAATGTAAAAGGGAAGCACAGTAGGGTTCACCCGGGGTCACTCATTTTATGAAAGCCTCTAAGTCAGGATATGAAGCAGCCTTTTGGGTTTTATTTCTAATGGTGATTTTTTTCCACTGACATCTAGGTCTATTGGCTAAAAAACGGCAAGAGCGTTGACAGAGATACCTTTCCCCACATCATCATAGATGACTACAACCGACTGATAATCGAGCAAGTGGAGTTGCAGGATGAGGGGAACTACACATGCGTGGCTGACACCCTCGGAATGGAGCGGCGATATTCCACAGCGGAGGTCACTGTGCTTCGTAAGTCATGCACACCTCGTCCCCAGCTTTAACCTCACCAAGGGCGTGCCTGTTGCCGGAGCGGTGCTTTATGGTCTAAGGAGATAAAAATTGAATTTGCGGCGATACGAGCAGGCTTTGGTCTTAAATCGGTTGGGTGTGTGAATAATCTGTGTGGTAAACAAAGGCGCGATTTAACCTCGGCGACCGATAAAACCTCTGCATGATTTTCGCGGCTGTTTCGTGTCTATCTGTCGGTCGCTAATTCTATTCGGCGGTTTTAAATTTGATATTTCAATGAACTCTGCGTCTTGATGTAGAAATCAAACTTGAGCTTTGGACTTCCGGCTGCCGAAGAGAACTTAATGGTTATAAGTAATTCATTTTCTGAATTGGCAGTATTTTTCGAGGTGCAGTTAACAGCACAGATTCCTTGAGGCCAGTCAAAGGGGTTTAATTGAAGCCAGAATTAATATAGGCCTAAAAATGGAAAATATAATTTAGGTTATGTAGATGGTTTGGTCGTAAAGTAAATTTGAATTAAATGTAAATTTGAAATATTACCATGTGTAATCAGCATGTGTAAAAAATTTTTGACCTAAGATTTATGTGATTTATGTGATTTGAGCATATTCATGAGGATTCGTGGGTACATGCTTGTCCAATTCGCAAAAAATCTTTGCTTACAAGGGTTTTTAAATTTTTACGATAAGGGAAAATGCCAGGAATAATGTTTCTTGTTGTGTGGAGTTGCATACAACTTCCATATCTAGATGTTAAATCAGTTTCTTTTGCCTTTAGCCTATAGGAGAGAATTGACAGAGCGCATTGTCATGACTCACTGGACACCCTGGGAGCCATGTCTCTTCGATCAAGAAACCGATCTCTGTCAAAAGGTACGGACTCGAACATGCGTTAACGTGACTAGGGGCGAACCCGTTGTGCCTTTGCCACAGGTGATCACCCCTGGCAGCACACAGATTTGCCCTCAACCAACCCTCGAAAGACGCATTTGCCCGCTTGCCGAGTGCAACAGTAAGTCAAATGGGACTTTCGTTGTAATGGAACCCATGCGAGCATCTTCTCTCAGTTTGTTTTCTCTAAATCACATTCATTTTCACCAACTTACAATTTCACTTTTGTTGAATATTGCATTTTACAGCAAAATGGCCGATTTAGGACACTAGAATAATCTTTTCCTAAATGAGTGCTATAATATATAAGAACGGTCTGAAAACAAATGTGATTTTCCATCCAAGTTTATCATGTTTTTTGTACACTATAAGGTACCAAAACTACGTGTTACATCTAGATATATGTAAAGCACAAGCGTGGTTTATGAAAACACTTAATTGTATAAGCTATCTGAGAGTAATTAGAGCTCGAAAAGTGAATGCGTGCATCACAAGAGCACTCAACCCAACCATTAATGCGATAATAACTACTAAGTTACATAAGTACTGTGTTTCAGTATTTCAAAACGCCAGTTACCGAAAAATGCGTTTAAAATTGTCCAGAAAAATAATAGCACTGGTAACTACCAGAGTTATCTTTCAAAGTTTACTGAAACAACGCTTTATTATAATATGAAGGAAAGCCCAATGGACTGGGGAAACTTCCAAGAATCAGCAGCCAAATGATAGATGCTCTTGATTCAAGATTCTCAGAAGTCTTGTACTAAGAGCTTATTCATAGTTGTGAGCAAAAGAAATAGCTGAGCAAAGTGTACTTGTTAATGACCTAGGTAAGCGTCTGGTGCATTTAGTTTTTTAACTAGAATCAACAGAACGTCTTGTGACTGTGGTCGACGTCTGCACAAATAAATTTAACCAGGCAGTGGACCAGAATACAACTGCAACTCCATCCCATTTAAGATTAAAATAAGACCGCATTAGATCCTTTTACATCCAAGCGGTTTTTATATCTGCTGCAAGCTTCTACATTTTTACCTATTTTGCATTTAGCTAACGTGAACATCTAGGGCTCATTTCAAGTGAGGACACAAACGCACATTTAAGTAGCGTGCATATATTAGAAATGACTTTACAGCCATTAGAGAGCTTTTAAATATCTTCTTTTTGGATACACTGATAAAACATCTGGGTCTGTTTCAGATGGTCGTTGCTCTGAAATTAAGTTAATTAGCCATTGCTTATGAGATTTTGATTATTAGTTAATTTTGTATTAAGGAAGATACGACATGCATAAGTCGGCAGAGCTACCTCCATAGTGTGCACGTCATCGACAAATATTTTAATCCCGCTTTAAACTGATTGGTCTCTAAGGATATCCTAAATTTTTGTGCTTAAAATGAAAAATTAGGGCACATTTATTTTACATGACCCTTAAGTATTTTCCTATCCATCCTATAGTTTGATATTCCATGTAACCTTGCCAAAAAAGACGGAACTTAAAATGCATCAAAACGCAAAAACACGACTAAAGTTTGCACCAAACGACCTGTGAACATTGCTGGGGATTTTATTCACACCTCAAGCCTAAACTTCGAATATTGTTTTTGGAATCAAAAGAATTATTATAATGATCTCACCTCTTCCTATAAAATTCACGATTGTTTGTCAATTAAAACAGTTATTTGCTTTGCTTAACAGTCGGTTTTTTCAAACCTTAAATTTCCATTGACGTTGATTCAAACAGGCAACTTACCAAATATGCTTCAAGTACTGTCACTGTAAAATATGCGCTTCTTCTGTAACATTAGCACTTCACCTTGCTCTCAAAAGTTGTGTCTACGCTCTGACCACTTCAAGTGTTTCAGTTTAGAATGCATTTTCTGTCTTCTGGTTCGGAGAAGTTGTTTCGGATTCGATTTTCAAATATTAGTTTAAATGTTACACTTGAGGAGTAACATTGCTTTTTGATGGACAAGAATGGCAAAGTTTGATGCTAATTCTTTACCCAAATCTCTAATAACCTACTGAGTTAGAACGTCAAAAATAAGCAACGTCGAAAGCTACATCCTATACGCACTTGTAAAATAAGAAAATGGGCTTTGAAGAGCGTGCCTTTAAAAAATGTAGGCTTAAGAAAATTAGGATTTGTGAGGCAGTTGTTTCAAGAGTAGTGCAACTTTTTTAGACCATTATAAGCAGATCAAGAAGCCCCAGGGCTTTGAAAGTGGCTCGCCTCGATGATGGTTGTGTTCGTCCCCGTTTAACAAGACAACTGTTTTCCACACGAACACACACCTTGGTGTGATCTTTAAGAATACTAACCTTGAGGAAACGCTTTCAAATAACATGTTATTCCGAAGCCACGAGGAGACCGGCATTTGGGAGACAAAGTCCGTCAATTTTATGAGACTGGCAGCATGGCAATGAATAATCGTAGGCGATGAGTGGTGTTGGCAGATGATGTTGACTTTTAAGATTTTCTTCAGAGCATGCTTTCCATAAGGCAATTGAGGTAGCTTGAAGCCTGTATTCACCGAGTAGCGTCTTTTGCTTCATTCAGAACGAACCAATGTCCCAGAAAAAGAGGAGGAACCAGAGCACAGGGCCACCTCTTTTACGATGACAGTTCGGGAGATCATGTTTTACGTTGGATTAGCTGTGGCCTTTACTGTAACAACTCTCATAATCTACACTGTCTGCCGTCTCAACCGAAGGAAGCCCTCACCCTTCCGAAATCCTCTTTGCCCCCGGATCTACAGCAATCGACAGCAAGGTGTGTGTTTCTTAATCTAGGTGAATCTCACATTTCTAGCAATAAGGCTCTGTCTCAAAGTATGACATAAGTGCCTGCCACTTGTTTGAAGTTTCAGGACCTATAAGACTATTTGTGGTACTCAAATGTTCTCCCAAAAGGAATCATTAATTGAATTTTGCCATGTCTCTTTCTCAATTTTGGAAGCATTCATAGTAGGAGGACTTCTTATTACAAAGCCTTTTTTAAAAATACCCCTGCTTGTATATTTTTTCAATCAAAACATGTCCAGGAGACTGAAGCCAAAAATGTTATTCCTAAATCCTATTATTTTATGGTACAATGATTGGAATAATGTTTATTTGAACCCAAAACCCGATAGTTAAATTGCGTGTTAGTTCAAATTACCGACCAGACAAGCGCAGTGGGAAGAAATATTTTGCAATAAATGCCTGTTTTAATCAGTCATAAGTCTTTGTTATTTTTTCTAGAGCAAGGAAAACTCCAGGTGTGTAAACATTGCTGCTTAGACTAAACTACTTCGTAATCTTTTTGCATTGTTACCGACAACAGAACTAAAAAACCTAATTGGACAAACGAGCATTGTTAAACTGACTTGAAGTTGCAAGTTAAGGACTCTGGTTAGCATAGTAACATAACGAAGTAGTTTTGCGTAAAGTTACCAACCACACACAGTTTGCCAACCAGCAAGAGTTAAATACTTAAAATTTAATGATTCGACCCAGAGATTTTGCCTAAGTAAGGTCATAGAAGCTAAAAATCAGAAAATAATGGGTTACTTGTAATGTTTTGATATTCAGAACCTAGGCTCTAGTGATAATCACAACCCAATTATTCTTTTAAGCTTCATTCCTAAATTAAGCTGTTATGCTAACAAAGTCACAATGAGTCAATCAAACGTGACAAATTCAGTAATATCAGCAATCAGAGATGCCGAGCGTTTCAAAGTTCAAAGAAACTCAGGCGAATGGCAGCGGAAAGCTCCAAGAATTTTGGAGAAAATAGTCCGTGCATTCTAACTTGACTCAGGCTGAAGAGCCGCTCATGGCGTGCATGTTGACTAACCATATGGTCTATTGTCATTGATGTGACATGACAGTGACTGGAAATTATCTTTTGTCGATTGGTTTGTCTTCATCAGAATGTGTCTTGACCTCAACAACCCGATTAGAAATATAGGGCACTCGATTATCTATTATTACATGGCAAAGAATGGTCTGGCATCTCTAAAGTAAACTGGATTTTACCGTGCTTGATCAAGGCAAATGGCTCATAACAAGAGAGCCACACCTCTGCTATAAGCTCAAGTAATACTCTTATTGTGTAGTCTTTCCATTTCTATTTATCCCTAACAGATTACGAAAAATCAATGACAATACTTAAGAATAATCAGGGCACCACGTACGATCTACCGCCGGTGTCCAACGGTGTGAGTACACTGATGCGCACGCCGAAATTGGGCTCCCCTATGGGTGGCAACGGAGCCATCGCTCTCATGGACTACCCAATCAACAAAGACGGTGCTGGGGTTCTTGTGCAATCCCACCACCATCGACCTTCATCAGGACCCGAGACTTCACTTACGGTTGCCAACTACCACCAGTCGTATAACCCTGTCAACGCAATGTTTACGCCAATGTCGCCCATGTTTCAAACTAGCGGGGCGTTTCAGGCAACAAAATACAATTACCAGTGAGTTGCTATTCATTTTTCGCACCTTCGGTCTTAGAGGCGCGACGGTAACAGCCTCAATTAACGGAAAATGACTCATGCATCTCCAAACAACCATCGAGTGAATGGGTGAATGGTAGTCTTTGTGTTTTTGCTGCAAATTTCGTTTATTGCAAGTAGATCTAAAAATCACTGGCAGCTAGGATATCAGAAATGCATCACGGTCCTGATTTTACATGGACATGAGCATCAATTCGCATCTCACTCTAGCGGGTCCCATGAGAACAACGTGGCTACAAAGAGTTATTGGTCACAAAATCACAAGGCCATTCGTGTGTTTCGTGTGTTCTCAGTTTTTATTTCGTGCAAAGATGTTTTTTACGCATAAATTGAATAATATCTCGAAATTCATCATTACAAGAGGCAAACTTTCAACGGCTTATAAGTTAAAGTGCAATTGGCAAGTAGCTCAAAGGCACATGTAATCTAAGATAAATTTACTTGAATGAAAAATGAGCCGTAAATTTATTCGAAATGGCTTAGTGCTTAAGTTAGGTATTTGAATTTGACTTTTTTTGTAAAGTTTACCCCATAGTCTAGGGAGAAATAAAGGTTCAGTGAGGAAATGGCCGTTTACCAGCTCGGCTTTTGAAAGGTTGTGTCATATTCAAAGATGCTATACATTTAATTTTCCCTGTGTGAATATAATCAAATACATGACCATATGTGAGCTGATGGGTGATATAAAATGACTTATCTAATCCTCGTTGAAGGGCTTCCTCCTGATTATTATCTACAACAGCTAGTCTTGCTTTCCAGGTGCGTCCATAAGTTCAATTTTTATTAATTATGATTGATCCATTTCAAAAATCACACAGTGCAATCCACAAAAGCAAACTGAGAATCGGCTGTGATGGGAAATTGATGTGTAAAGGTATTCCCGTTTCTGCCTCGATAGCTCGAGCGATGCATCGAACATCCCCCCCTCAAATGCCGGCACGTTTTCCCCTGTTCCGAGTGCAGGGTACTCGAACCCACCTCCACTTACCGTGCCCCCCCTTCCGCCGCACATGCCCCATTCGCGTTCCGGCGCATCCTCGTCGACAGGCGGGCTTCAAGCACAGCAACAGCCCATCTACTTGAGTCCATCCTCAACCACTACGACTGGGGGAGGTGGAGCTGGAGAAGGAGGGGATGAGTCCTCCTCGGCGTTCTACCACGAAATCGGAACAACTCCTGGATCTTTGTTCCCCCTCTTCCCTCCCTTGCCAGTTTCGGTAGGGGAAACAGAGAGTACAACCTGGGCAAATATCGGATCTGTTGGAGGAGTGGTGAATTTGCCTGAGTCTGGTAAGTTGGGAACATTTTATACCATCTTTAACTTGGGTTTCAGTTTTTAGGCTTTGTAGTACCAATGAAGCAATCGAATTGCATCAATCTTCACTTGGGCCAAGTTCGTTCATTATTAATAAAGTTGGCATGTGGTTGCCATTTCCCAGGCACTTGAAATAGAGGTTTAAACAAAGTTGAAAACAGGGACCTTATAATAAGTTTGTAGTTGTGGGCCGAAGAGTCTTTTATTAGCACGAATACTTTTACCTATTAGGAACCCCAAATCAGTACAGCAATTTCGTTCATAAAAGTCAGTACTTTTATTAAATTGGTGTTTGTAAAAGACAGTGGTTCGAAATAACTTTGTTTCAATTTTTTTGAAAAAATTGCATATTTTCTCAATTTCTCGAGGAGGGCAAAAGTTAGCAGCCTATAAATGTTATTGACCAGGGATAATTTATCTCCGAAGGATGTCATAGTCCTGGCATGATGGGAGTTGCTTTTGCAAGGAAAAATCACAAAATGTAGTCGCATAGGCGTGGTCTACCGTTTTTCAAATTACGGCAATTTTTTTTGGAAGTTTTACCAATGACACTTTGAAGGCACATCCGGTTTTTGGGTGGGTGAAACGCCGTCGATTAGTCACCAGCCCGTCTCGACGTGGGAGCTGTGATCTCTCTCAAACACATGATGCAAAAGGCACTTTTTTTATTCACACTTAAGCCCCCTATTTTAGTTGCTTTGTTTTATTTGTCCAGGTCGGTGAGTCGCGTCTCTGTGACTATTCTGCTAATGAAGTCGAATTCTTTGGATATAAGCCTAGGCCATCAAAACATCTGTTAACCCTTAACATCACCAAAGCATTTCATGGAAGTATCTGACCTTACTTGGAATTAAACAGACGCATCTTATGAAACATCTTGTAGCGAATCCGGCATTAACAGTAAAAAGGATATCAAACACTACAGTAGAGGTTTAAATCCTCAAGCTGTCAAGGGGCAATAAGGCAAGTAAAATTGGTTTGTGGTAGAGAATCTTTGCTGCAGTTTTTCAGTATGTCAGAATAATGAGATGGTTCAGGTTTTTAGCACGTAAGATTATAACTAGATCCCACGAGGCCCAAAAGTAGGCTACCCACATGCCTGAAAACGTGGACTAACCCTTATGAAATCGGCCTGAAAATTTTTGTGAGTCTGTTCGCATCAAAAGCGTAGCTGGATAAAGTAAATGTGCTAGCGCTGTTCGGCTGTTATGGCTTACCTCGGGACGTTATCAAGAGGTTTTGAGGTGCCTGCCTTTCTTAGCACGATAAATTTCTCTGACAAGTAAAGAGGATCCAAGGTGAATTTCTGGGGGCAGAGTTAGTAGTTCCAGTTTGAATCGAACCTTTAACATTAATTTTATGGCATCGGAACCAATCCTTTTATCCTTTTTTTGCTATGTGCAAAGGGAGGAATGCACGCAGCTATCCGTCCGACTCATTGTTTATCTTCAATCAAGGGCGTTAACTTGGAAACGGGGCTTTAGACAGAAGCACCGTCACCGGGCAAATGTAACACGAGGCTGTATTTGGCTTAAGCGACCTTGAGTCGACCAAAGTAGAATATTTTAATAAGACAACAAAAAAAGAACTGTGGGACTAATCACAGCCTTAAACAGAGGCAGTACCCTAGTTAGGCAGTGGTAGCGAGCCAAACACAAAACGCAGCAGAAGCTCCGCGATGCCCAAAGGATCTTGTTTTCTTATGAAAAATCCACGAAAGGACTATTCGGTTTTGTTTCAATAGACTACCTGAAAGCATTAGTCATCCTTAAAACAGCTACGGGTGAATCCCAGCCGCAATGTCCCAGAGACGTCAATCATTTTTATCTGAATTCCATCGAAGGACATCCTAATGAAATAACAGATTTGTCCTTATTTCCACGTCTAAGTGTGGTTGATACGAACAAACACAGATGTGTGATTTCAGTTTATCTGATCTAATGCATAATTTTGGTTGGATGGAGTTAACAGTTCTTCCTTGTGGTGTATGGTTGTAATTCGTAATTTTGTGTTCATTTGCAGGCATCAGTCTGCGGATTCCAGTGGGCTCGATTCCATCTGGTGTTTCGCGAGAGGTCTACCTTGCTGTCTGCCGGGACGAAAAATACTGGCCAGCACTTTCTGGTAAGTTTTAATGAAGCCCGTTGAGACACGTCGTCTATCCGCGAAGGTTGTTCATTCCCCACTTCTAATATGATGATAAGACCGTTCTTGATTTTTGTGAAATGATTTCAGATAGACTGCCAATGCAAATTAAAGAGGTTTCACTAAGTCTAAGACCAACCAAGTGTGTTTCTCCACTTTGAAAGTGAGAAGAGTAGTAATATTTCTAAATGCTTTTAGTTAAATTAAATGCAGGTTGCACTTTACCGAATACCGACAGATAGTTGATTACAGATTTCAGAAAGCACATCTAATGTTACTACTCTCTTTCTGCTTCCGCTTGGTTTGCTTTTCAGAATTAACTTTTTCAGTTAAACTGCTTCGAGAAATGTACCCTTCAGAGTTTCTGAAATGCTTTGATTATCACAAAACTGTCTCCATAATTTCAATCAAAGAAATGTGGAGTGTAGTGGGCTTGAGTGACGACATAGCCCATAAATGTATCAAACCGAAGTATTGGTCACCGATGTATTCGGTGAAATCGAACTTCCGTCACTTATTTTGTTACCTTAACAACAACTTTTGTCTTACTAACAGGTTTATTCGAAAAACTGTGACTTTAAACGTATCCTTTTCCATCAGCCGTCGCTGAATTGCTGTCACTTATTTGACAGATGATGAAAAATTTTGACATGACAGGCGCGATGGTAAATTCAGCAATTCATCCCTTAAACGTCAACTACCAACATCTCATTATTCCTCCCTCACAATCCATATTTTAATCCATACAATTCCTATAGAATTTCGGCTACAAGCATTGTCTTTGGTTACTTGATCCAGTGACACCTAATCTTGCCACGGGTTACCGCCTTGCCCATAACAACGTGCACGCAATGAAATTAAAGGCTCGTGATGTAGGCTTTGATGCTGAAAATGTATAAGTGATCGAAATGGCTTTTCAATATAAGGACACGTTGGAACTGAACACATGTCAACGCGTCTCAGAATATTTCAACCGCAACACACAGAGTTCTGTTTACGCACTTGTCCTGGTGACACAACAGTTCGGGTATTGCAAAAACATTTATCCGGGTGTGGTGAACCATATCCCGAGTGACAAGAAAACTCACGAATTTAATCACATCCTTCATAAATAGAATTGAATACTTTGTAACGTTCGACCCCAGCTCAGTGTGTGGCCTTGCCTTGAGATTGCGTTTGCACCCGGCTTCTCCTCTCCAACCAAAGTCATAAGCTCACTTTCTCAAAAGACTCTGGTTATGATGTCTCAAAGATCGCAGCCTGCAACTAGCACAGTGCCATGTTTTACTGTCTTAGCAATAATTGTTACTTGTGCATCCACCTGTTAAGCGATCAAAAATCCTTCCTGAAGCCAATGAAGTGAACGCAAACGGAGCCCCGAATCCCACTTACCTGAAGCAAGGTAAAGGGATGAGGACTTTAAGTAAATTCATAGCTTAACCCGAGGAGGCAAGAAACCAAACGGAAAAACCAAATGATGGGTGCGTGTGTGCGATTACTCACACCACAAACCCACACCAGCGTCTCCAACCCCTGCGTGTTATCTGGAGATATAAACAGACGCCTGACCTATCGAAGAGATGCGTCATGGTCGATGACTCACGTAATGTGGGATGGGGGCGTAGATGTTCCACCTGCCTTATTGCTATAGCAACAGGTATTATAACAACGTCGTCATCTACCCCTTGTAGCCCTAGTTTGACCCTGTTGCTACCTCAGTAATTACGTCAAATCTAATCTGCACATTCCTAACTAAAAATGCTACCTATGTCGAAGTCTGTGAGTTTTGAGTTCAAATTTAATCACCAACATATCGACTGACTTTTAACGTCAAATTTTATTGCTAATTTCATATTTTTTAAACTAGTTGAAATTCGGAACCCAAAGAGTTCATGCCACCATCTCATCAAAAACGTACTGCTAATAATTTTTGGACAGAATATTTGAACTTGATTCAAGATATTGCGAGGTTAAAAAATGTGTTCAAATAACTTAAGTGTTCAATAACCCCAGGTGAGGTCTCTTATCACATTGTCGTTACTTATCATGACTTAAAATTGTTTCCACCGTAGGCTTATCAATCAATATCATGGCTTTCTAAATATAGGTCAGATGTAACGCGTGCGACTTTGTCTTAGGACTGAGTTTTTTCTCGTTCTAGAGCACCAGACGCTGCTGAGTTCTGTGATTCAGTTCGGACTGCCCGGTGCCCCTCTTTCAAAACCCGTCATCGTCACCTTCCCACACTGCGCCAGCATGGGTGGACAGGGTAGTTGGTCCTTCAGCATCTACTGCTTCTGCAACGCTAGCGGCTTTGACTCGATTTATAAGGACAACGGGACAAACACAGTAGAATGGATTTGGAGGGTAAGACCAGTCAGTACACCTGGGTGTCAATCGATAAACGTTTCCCTGCCACCTCACACGCACATCTGAAACCGCGCTTGATGAGTTTCCGTTCCAGCAGGTCCTTGATGTGGTATCCAAAAGTGCCAGTTTTGAGTTCACATGTTGACTATGTCCGAAGATGTAGTAAGCACACAACCAAGGGCAATGGCACAACCCATTTATGGAGGTGTATAAATGTATAAAGCTCAGGATGGTGGAACCGCTACAGGTGATAATAATGCTAAGTGTCGATGTGATGAATTAATATAGAATTTAAAGGGGAAAAGTTAGATATCAGAACAAACCTAATGATTAAATAATTGTCACAAGCTTTACCTCGGAGGTGTTTACTCGGGGTTCTCTCTACAAATATAAGGGAACTTATTTTTTTTATTTAATTTAAAGTGAAAGAGACTCTTAGCTAAAATCCTTCCAGCCTACGGGATGTCCGGGAAGCGTGTCTCCCAAGCAGTCTTCCGAACCTATCCACCCGCAGTCTTCATTTAGACCCGCATTTGATGAACCATCTGGTTCAACGTAGTTAAACTAGAACGCCTTGTGTAGATCTATGCCCATGCCAGTGGATTTAAACTTAGTTATATGTATCTCATCCTCTAATTAATCTCGACCACGCTATCAAACAAAAAATGAAAGAAAAGACGAAGAAAACACATTGAAATTTAGAATAACCTGAGCATATTGGTCCAAGCAACTTTTGACGTCCGGTCGTTAAGACACTGAACTGATTCAAGTAAATTAACGTTTGAGTATAAAATTTATGTTGAAATCGAATGAAGAAAACAAAATGATTAACAATTGGCATCCACAGTGCAGGGACAAATTACATTAAATGTTCTGACCGTTTGCTGCACATTTAGCAAGAGACTCGGAGCAGGAGACACATTGGCTTTCACAAACAGTAACTTGGATTTTCGCCTGCGTATTTCCAAGGCAAAGGTAGGCGGCCAGATAGAACACGGATCGTTTACATTTTAATCGTCTGTGACACCGGCAGTAGTCGAGTGATTATATACAATGAGTAAGTTGAAGTCCCCGGCTCGTGGTCTTGAATCACGCCGAGGTCGCTGTGCTGAATTTAGCCTGATCGTGGCACTTAGACACACAGGAAGACCAAGGCGAGGCAAACGTTCACAAGATGGCTCAGTCTAGTTGTGTTTGTCGCGCCAGTGCGCGTGAAATTCGTGTCTCAATAATGAGGCTATTGATCAATACAGCCTAGACGAATCTGCAAAAGTACAAATTGCTGAATGGCCAGGTGAATGAACCGGGTAGCGTGGGTGAGGTGCAAGCACGGGGCTGTTTGAGCTGACGATTTCAATAGCGACGCCGTGAAAAGGAAGTCAGTGGGGTGGAGAATGCAAATCAGCTCGATTCACAACAAGTCTGCTACTCACTTCTATGTTATCATGTTTACAAAGAACTTTTGAACACAAATTAAACGCCTACTCAAGTCAAGTGCTTTCAAGACGCAATCATGCTGTTCCACTCAATGAATGTAGTATATATTGTGCGTAACGCGATATCAAGCCTTCGGGGAAGGAAATAAACGCAAAATAATTATACGCACCTTTGAGTTGTTGGGGTAAGCTAATTAAAGTGAATGTTTTATAGACTTGACCGCATAATCCTGCGGTCCATCTGTTGTGTCTGGTCTGGTTTCCACAACCATCGGAGGTTGTTCAAATGGTACATTAAATCGCTATCGAGAGTGCTCTTTCACCAAGGTTGTCTGTCGATTGTCTTCCTTTTGGTTATGAGTTTAAGGCTCAGGCTTCCAAAGGAGTTTCAAAAGGAAGCTCTGTTTCGTCCAACTGACTTGAAAAAAAGGCTTAACATCTGTTTTAGGTCATCGATTTCTTCAGGTTATATTTCCGTATTGCTATTAGGTATACACAGAATTTTTGCCTTAGGACCTTAACTATTACAAATAAGTTGGTGCAGTGGTTTAACAAAACAGTAAAAGCAGTCATTTTAAATGTATTGCAATATTGACACACAGCTCTAAGTGCTGTTTTTGAACAATTTAAAGGTCTTTAGGCATACATTTCTCGATACATCCTCATGAAGCTATTACGAACCACTTTCAAAGTTTCTCACCTAATCTCCAATGTACGCATGCATAATTACATTCCAACTATTAGGAATTCGTTAAAGTTGTCAGATGCTCAGAGGCAATCCCAACTGGGTTAAAACGGCTTAATATGCTTACAAAAACCCCATTTGCAATTGTAGTTAGAAATATCTACCTCAGTGAATTGTGGGATGTAAATAACTGATCATTTTACACGTGGGATTACGTACTGTGAAAGGACATAATAAAAATTGATGTGTTTTCCGCTAATAACGGTATTAATGTGTATCTATTTGCTGGTTTAAGGAGGTCTCACATGTCGGTCAGGAGCAAGCCCGTGACCCCATCCACTGTCAACTTGACAACAGCCAAGCTCACCTCATGACGCAATATCCCCTTCGTTTTTGTTTGGTCGGACAGGCTACAAATTTCGCTCTCAGCCCAGCTGTGGCTAATAATAATATTATTAACCGAATGGTGACTTCTGCTGACTGCAGTGAGAACCACAGTGGCAGCAGCATGGCCACAGAGACAACCAACGACACGCTCCCGGGCCTCTCATCTCTCCAGCCAGTCCCACCGCCCCTGTCCAAGCGTCTCCGCCTTATTGCCTATGCGAGCAGATTCACGACGTCGGCAGACTGCAGCCTGAGAATATACGCTGTGCTAGACATTCCTGACGCGATTCGACATGTCAGAAATACAGAGAATAAGCTTGATGGTCAGTTGCTCGGTGGAGCAACACCCAAACAGATAACGTTTAAGAATAATGCCGGAGGGCTGGTCTTCCGAATTCAGGAGATGTCACCAAACTGGAGGACGCGTTTATCTTGTCAAGTATGTCAGCGATATATACAATGATGTACTAGCGTTTTTTTTTTCATGCTTTCAGATTTACAGTAAGGATCTCTTGGTAATAGCTTTCGATGTAGCCATATGGTAAAGTTTGCAGGGCGACAACTCCCTGTCAATAAAAATCCATCATAGGCGCAAAGCTAGGCATTTCCACTTTTCTCTGTCTTGTGAAAAGCAGGTAAGTTGACTGATCTAGGTATATCATTCGATGGAAACCTCATCATGGAATCAGAGTGGATACTTGGGTGTAGCAACATGCCGGGATATACGTAAGCACCTGCCCTGGCTGTTAGCCCATGCTTATAGTGTCGTGTCATCTGTAGGCTTATTCGTAACTGTGGTTTGCGGTGTCTAACATTAGCTCAGAATTCTTGCCAGTCTGCGAAAACTGGTTATTTTTCCCGGGTGTGTAAGCACCAACACATTCCCTGATTCAAGACACGCAAAAATCACTTTTTAATTATTCACGCCTGGCTTGGTGCTTCTTGCATGGAATACAACACGAGAACGCCTGTCACCTCTTTTTCAGGAGTCATCAAAAATGCAAAAGATTCCTGTGGGCATGGGACGGAGTCGGGAAGTATGTGGGGAAGCGCACGGCGTAGCTTTTTTGCTTGACTCACTCGTCATGTATTGTGCTCGGTGTCCTAGCGACTCTTTAACGTCGTCTTCTGGAAGCTTGCATTCTTTCTAAAGCGGGCAGAATATATTGCCTTTGTTCTGCTGAACTAGTATCACTTCGTTAAAAGGGAAGCCAGAACTTCTTAGGAAAAAAATATTAAGTTAGAACTCACCAGAGAAATATCCTGTTCAGGTGCTCACCTGACTTGAGCCTCACATACTTTACCTACATATTTTGCAGTGTCTGGAAGTGAATTGGTGTTGCAAAACAAATTATGAAGAAGCCGAAATCATTTTATGTTAGCTTTAAGTTTTGCTTGTTCATGACAGAAACCAAAAATCGGGTGTTATTACGTATAATTGAGGATACAAAACTTCGAGAGTTTGTTCACAGTTTCTCCGATTCCTTCACAGCTCTCATAAGGTTAATCAAATGAAATTTTGAATAACTGCTCATTTTGATGGCTTTTTACATTGTCGGTGATGTCTCCTTTGATCAAGTATTGATCTAGTATTTTGACACTCTTTTGATCAAGAAATTATCACAATTTGGGGAAACCACGTCTATTTTAAGTCTGCTTTGAAGCCGAGTGGTTTGAGATGTATGAAAGTAGTAGCATTTAGGTAACGTACAAAAAAATATCCACAGAAACGCATCAATTTACCATTGTGAAGAAAAGAGTGTTTATTTTCAAAGGTCTTAGGTCATAGCGTTTATGTAAGAAAGATGCGCATACATGAGCCACCACGCATTAATCAAACAGGAAGCTAAGTTTTGCTGCAACAACTGCATGGTGATTTTTGAGTCAAAGCGGACAGATGATAAATCAAATAGAATCCATTTGATAATCTGGCCTATTTACACTGATTAAAATGTATTTTATTTTGCTCTCCCGTAGCCATGTCTGTTTACAAAGTCTGGGTGGAAAAGAAATGAGGCATGTGGAAACATTCATCGTCGTGAAATTGACACCCGTCGTAATCGCCTTAATCGTGGAGAAATAATAAGGGAGAAGCACTTTCCATTTGAAAACCTATGTACCAGAGCTGAAATTGCAATAGCCACATTAATGACAGACAAATTGCAATTTATTTCGGTAAATATAAAAAAAAACAAACAAACAAGCAATGCATCAATTTGCCAGTAACCGCTTTGCAGGAAGTAAGATGAGTTAACCTGAGTTAGCATGCGTGCTTTTACCGTATTGGCAGGAAATTCCCTTCCGCCATATCTGGAGCGGCAATCGCAACACTCTGCTTCACTGCTCGTTTACACTGGAGCGCCTTGATGACACCGTCGCTGGGTTGCAGTGCACCATCGCTTGCCAGCAGGATGGTGTGCCCGGAACCCAGCAACTTCTCCATTTGACCGTCAACAATGTCAGTCCAGAGGTAAAGCAAACCACTTCAACACTTACCCATAGAACTCTCCTCTCCACGGTACAGACGTAACAAATCCGATTCACTATGGCAGTCAAGAATGCTTTGCATTCAAGCTTGTCGTAATGTCTTCCTCGCACCAGCATTTTCTCGCTAACTCACCGCTCCAACCAACGTTGCCTTGGGGATGAAGCTTCAAATGACAATATATCTAATTTTGGCTAATCCTTAGTGTGATACAGCATATTCTCTAGGAGGGGCCTTTCATAAGCTAAACTATTCAAAGTTATTATCAGTAAGCCAAGTTTTGCACGCATGCATTGCTTAAATGATTTACCATGACCTTTGTCATCTTCGCAAGAAAAGTAACTGAAAACGAATCTTTTACAAAAGAAATTGCATTGCGCTCTATAAAACCTACAGTGGAAATAAAGTGACTGCGGTTAGTTAAACGTCAGAATCGCCGTTAAATAAAGCATATTTGTGCATTTTGATTGACTATTTTTGCAATATTGTGATGGCCTTTTCCCAAAAACTAATATTCCCACCAAGCCTTAAAAGGTATAGTTGAAAGTGACTTATTGATTGATTTCAAGACTTACGACAAACATCATTTATGACGATCATACAAATTTACGGGACTACAGAAAAGCAGATATAGGCAAATTCTGTGCCCACCCAATGAGGCTTAAACGAGAAGCTGTTTGCTGTCAAGAGTTTTTAGTGTCTGACTAGCTTTACGCAGTTTTGTGTGGCGCTATGATTTCATCTTTTGAACCGACAAACTTGCCGATTCACAGAAGTAATATTTGTTTGTCGAAGTCGTTTAAGTGAAAGAATGTAACACCTTAAAATGCGGATGAATTTGAACAAAGTGTGCACATGAAATTCAAGTATGTCCCGAGGCGTCGTCAATGTTGCTGAACCAGTTCAACCCCATGCGCCACGAGAAACCGTCAGCACTTTGGGCCACTCGGAATTGACCATTATTTGTACTTAAACGCCTTGTTTAAAAATAAAAAATCCACGTTGAGAATTGTTTTCCTCACGATTGAATTACGGTCGGTCTCTGGTTTATTCAACGTGTTTTTAAAAGGGGAAGGTGGAAAGGGCTGTCTGGTTTTGAATATACCGTTACTCATTGGGGAGAAAAAAAGTTAAGCACATTGTTTGGTCCTCGCCCTCTCTTTCCCAAATCCTACTTTGAATTCTTTTTTTCATTTTAGGACAAACAGTTACAATCGCAGCAAGCCGCCAACGGCCAATTTTGTGACCAAACAGACTTTAGGTGAGGAACGCAATAGTTATTCGAAGACCCCTTTTTAAAGGTTAAACTATTTCCTTTGTACAATGAAGGAAAAAACTGTAAACTGGAAGATGCAACGATGACACCTACCATAGTTTATAAAACTGAGCTTTTAAGAAAACTAAAGTTGAAGGGATAAATTTCGAATTATTACTTGTCAACACTTGAAAATTGAATTTTGAGCTGTTCCGGCGCTTAAGCAACTTTTGATGTAATCAGCAGGCCTCGTCCTTGAAGCTTGATCTCTGTCACAATCGCTTTTGGCAATTCAATTTTTCTTCTGGTGCTGTTTTTCACAAAGTGTTATTGAAAGGAAGCATGCTGCTATAGCCTAGTCCCTGTGTTACTGTGAATCAAACATTCGCATGCGTTTGAAAATCGTATAAGAGGAACTCCATTGTTGTCCAAAGGACAAGTTTTACTGGCAACGCTAGTGCTTTTTCGTCGCTTTGTAGACTGCCATCGTACGTGACCTTCAAATTATGCAGTCTGCTCGATCCCATTGCTCCGCTTGGCAACGACTGGAGACAGCTGGCTCAGCACCTGAACATGGAGAGGTAGGTGACACACGCATCGCCCTGCATAAAATAAACTACTGGAACCCGACAACTCTGGGAACTTAACTTCGAAATGCATTCTGCAATTGCAAAGAATATTCCCTACAAATTAAAAACCTTTGTTCCTCAATACGACATGAATCGAAAACGCCCTTTCGTCATCAGTGCTAGGGTGTGTGCCTTTTGTCTAGGACACTAAATAAATGCTTAAATTAGTTGTCAAATGGATAAACAATGTACTACTAGGTCCTCAGTAGCCTTGTAAGTGCTGCTGGTGTCCTATCATTGAAAACCCTTAAGTCATTACACAGCTGAGATACCTTTAAACATCGAAAAGTTATAAAAACTATCGATTTACTCTAAACACGCCCAAACCTATTAAAATATCCATTACTCGTCTGCAAAACAAACGTTATAATTCGATTAGTCTAAATGTTGGCAGAGGTCAGATGAAGGACACGTTAATAAAGCTTTTTCTGACTGGAAAGAACTGATCTTTTGTGTCTCTTGTCTCTAAATACCACTTTGATTATAGCTTAATCTTTCAACCATACACCAGTTTGCAGTATAAGGATGCGGTGTACTAATTATCTTGTGCAGATTTTTGCCATACTTTGCGACCACGCAACGGCCCACAGAAATGGTGCTGAATCTCTGGGAGGCTTCAACCACTGCAAGAGGTCCAATAGCGAACCAGGAATTGATCAGTATTCTCCAAGGCATGCACCGGCCGGACTGTGCCAGTCTGGTCCAATCCCAAACCATGTCTGCGTAAAAATCGCCAAACCTACTTCGCGTGTGTGTAAATATGATGTCGTTTACTTACGTTCTGTAAATAATCTGCCCAGTAACGCACCCCATGTATTCAACAGCACAACCGCTACCTCAGAAAAACTTCTATAAGTAGCATGTTACATAAAAACCATCAACATCAAACCCCCAACTGTATCCCCTGTGTTCATACCCTTCTCACCCCCTCTGTATCAGTGCTGCCAGTGACTGAATGCCCCCGTTTCTTATAAATTAGCATCATAAATGCCACCCATAAAACAATTTCTTTCAAAAATAAGTTTCTGCGTGTTGATACTTCACCACAGGTAATGTGAAGGCATTTTAGGTGTCATTTGTGGAACCAGACGCGCAATTTCACACTTGTCTGAAAGGAGGAACGAGTAAAGTACGTGTGTGAAGACTTAACAGCAGCTATGTGTTCATGGACATTCACTTTTGCATCATATTGATTAGATTTACTTACCTGAGCAAGACGAGACGCCCAAGTAAGTCCAGCAGCACTAACCCTGAACCTAAACAGTTCGTATATTGCTCTCACCAATACAAATTTCGTGTACCAACACAAGAACCAACTCCACAGTGCATACTTAGCTTCTTACCTAGATAATTAAGGATTAGTAATTAGTTAACATGACGGTTAATAAAATTAGCATGGCCCGGCGATAAACTGGGCAAATTTATCAGCTGCCACATAGTGGAAAAATAGCCCCAATCACAGCCTTCTAACAGGCTGCACCTAACCTGGTGACAAATACCCGGGAAAATTTGGTCTGCACCTTAGAACTGGGATGAAGACCTAGTGTACTCCCATGTAAGTATCTAGAGAAGCTGATTATTGGATTGACTGGTGAAACTGAATGCATCACTTGTGTGATTTTTTTACTAAATACAGGGTATAAATTAAAAAAAGGGTTAATCCTTCATTGCAAAGGCAATCTAGTTCCTTAAAAGACAGCAAGGAAAAGGCTGAAATTTTTTCAAGTACAATTTTTATTAATAAATCGATCCAACAAGCCCAAATTCGTTAAAATAGTGGATAAGTAGCCGCTTGGGCGTATTTTCAACAACCGGACGCTTTGCACTGCAAATGTTTACATGCTTTATTCTTCCGCTTTCAGACAGCCGAAGTTGAGTCAGTCTTGTGGAGGGACAAAGCAAGTCTTTTGGCGGGATTTTGGTTAAAATAAAAGGGAAGCGTCAAAAAATCAAGTCAGTGAACTCTACAATGTCTAAGCATGAATTACACTGCAGATGAAGCATCAAGTCAAATGAAGGCAAAGGAAGCACTACTAGAAGTCCTTGAAAATCCTTAATATTGAAAACGTCACTGCTGAAACGGATCTGAGTGCCGATGCAGCTGTTCAAGCATGAATGGAAAAAGATTCGTTTAATAAATTATGGGCTTTGAATGGTTATAGACTTAATATTGTCAAAATACCTAGAAAAGCATACAGTAACAAATTAAACAAAGAACCAGGATACAATTTAGTCAAAAAGAAACGAAGGCAGAAGACGTGCAGATTTCTAAAGGGTAGTCCGGATATGGCCGAGTTTCATACATTTCTTTAAAGTTGCACATATCTGAGACGAATGTTTTAATGTGCAATCATACTCCGAATGCTCCAAATGTAAGCCGCTATTTGCAATGCAAGTATGGTGCCACTCAAGGGTTAAAATAATTAAGTCTCATTTTTTTCGAAATACGAAATAATTTTTAAGGTATAGTGAAACCTACTGCACTGTGTAAAAGTCACAAAAGGTTCATGTCAAAGGCATAAAAATTTTTTGCTTTCAATCAATGTGTTGAGAAATCAAACTTTGCGGTAATGTCACACGAATTATTCATTTAAGCACCTTAAAATATTTGGAAATGTTTTAGAAATTAAATCTTTCAAAATTGGTTCCTCTAGCTTTTATTGAAGTGACTTTAGGAATTACATCAAGGAATAGTTTACATTTAAAGGTCAAGTAACTGGTTATTTACGGCAGGATTTTTCATAGATTCGCACTTGAATCACATAAAGTGTCCAGGTGTTCATAACTCTAAAAAACTACAGAAAATAACTTTCATGTGTTTCAATTTGCATCTAACAACATTTAAAAGGTGTATGTAAAAGTACTTTTTGCATGACATTGTGTTTAAAAAGTCATAGCAATGATACGAAAAGTATATCCGCAAAATTTAATCGACTTTTGTTGGTGGGTCTATTGAGAATTATTATACCAAGATCTTGCAACAGGTCTGTAAGATGCCAAACGTAACCCCCCATTGTAATATGTCATAACGTCAATTATCCCCTGGCACAAGCTTCACTTTGGCCCCGCATTAATCGATGAGTTAATGTTATTCAGAGAGAGTGAATAGCATAAAGAAATTTTTCACAAACTAGGGCATGAAGATTAGGTGAACAAGCATGTGCGTGAACGAGCTGGCTCTCTCTACAATTTGAAAGCCGTAAATGAAACGTGGTTTTTTGTGGTTTTAGTTGGCCTCATTTTGCCATTTGAAGGTCGATCAGTCCTTAAAGACCAGTTACTAACTTCGAAAGTTACCAATTACATGCAGAAATACCGAAAAGGTTGTGGCAAGAAAGACTTTTCGTTTGCATAAAATGCTTTGAAATGTTACACTTTCCACCGAAATATTAGGATGCACTGAAAATCCATAAATTGTAGCGTCTTTGATTATTGACTGACAACACTCATAATTAAGGCGGCTCAGGTAGGAAAAGCGATGTACCAAGACCGAGTTTAATGATGAAAGATGTGTCATTGCTCGGTGAGGTTGACAACAATCACCACTTGAGTACCTGCTACCAATTTGTCGCCCTCAAAATTACGCAAGATTAAGAAAACAGCAATTGAAAGACATATGTAGTGCACAAAACACTACACTAGATGTGATCGGTTTCTCCAGAAGCTAGCTAACGTATTTCATTTTATTCATGTGGTAACACATTACACTTTTAACTATCAGGTTTGTTAAGCTTTTCAAGAGCCCATCATTGTGCAATTTTGCACAATTTGAACTCTAAACCAAAATGACTAGATAAATATTTCGTCTGACTTATGACTATAGTTAAATGAAAGGTAAAGTCACCATTTTGACTTATTGCGACATGTGATGTCGCATCAATGGGAGTTTGACAACCCAATTTAGGGCCCACCCCATTTGACGACACAGCCACAACTTGTTCCAAGGCTGCTTGCATGTGACGCGCTCACCTGCTCCGTACACAAGCGAGTTCGAATCCCAGGCTTTTAGGCTTCCGGATGCCGTAGTCATGATGGCCACCGAGAACCCCAATTTTTTTCGAATTTAATCCCTAATTTATGTTCGAAGTTTCCAAAATTACATATCGTGGAAGTCCAAGCTGCCTATTAACCTCTAAAAAAATAAAAAGCTTAACCGATATTTGAAAATTAAAATATTGCTGCATTAAACCAAATAGCACACATTAAATAGTCTTGTCAAGCATATCGACGCCGTTTGGGTGACATATTTACATCTTTTTCGCTCGGTTAAGGCACATTCTGGGGCAAAATTTCAGTGTCGAAATTGCAGTTTTTTTGTCAAAATCCACCAATATTCAAAACTAAAAATTCTACGTCACATTACAATATATAGGTCTAGATTTTATTGAAATCATGATGAATGAAACAATATAAATGTCGATAAAAGCTATTTAAAGCAGTTTTCTGGTTATTGTTATGAATGATTTGATGTATTTATCTCAGATTGTTACCATCGAAACATGTGTATAGACAATGTGGCAATACCGATTATAATGTCTCTGTAAAATTCAGAAAGTGAAAACGTGCAAACGCCAAGAAGTATGAAACTTTATATTTGCAAGTGTCAGTAATTAAGCAGAATTGAGGGCAATTCTGTTTCCAAGAATAACTTACTAGCTTGAGACACAAATATATTAAGGTGTTAAGATTTAAAAAGCTTTTCGCAAAATGAATGATTTAGTTAGCTAATGCTCTGTTTAAGGAGTGCAAACTTTCAGCTGAATTTACTTCTCAACACAGCTTGAAGTGTTTCCATTTTAAAATGTTAAATAATGTATAGTGGTAAAATGTACAGTTGCACAGGAAACTTATTTGACCACTATAAACCACTAGGCCGGGATCTGTTGTAACTTCAAGCACATTAGAACTTGTTTTGCTACAGATGTTACATTTTCACTTCTTCCACTTTTTAGAATGATTAACTTAACTTAATTTTGTTTTAGGTTTTGTTTGGTAAAAAAGTGACCAGGAGAACACCTTCGCAAAACTCACCACAGTTGCTCTATTTGACAATTCGGTGAACTAAACTTAAGCTACGAAAATGTTGCTTTTGCAAGTACGAAACAGCAGGCCCATTGAAACCCACGAAGACAGTTGCAAAAACTATTTTGTTGTACATAAAATGGCAGTTATTGCAAGAAGCAATGGTAGCAATAGTAAAGCAATTGGTTGTAAATTTTTCTGAACATAGTGTTAATATATCAGGATCCTTGAACACGAATTTCTACATTGGATGACTTGAGGTATTTGGTGAAAGTAGCATTATCAGCATTGTTTCTTTACTATTGATATCAAAATCTGCACTTTAAAATGGCGTAGATAATTCAATTTACTGTATCTTTAGTCAGTTATAATTATGGTCAGTCTCATTGCTTACTGTAAACCTGACTTAAATGGTCAGTGAATTATGCAAATTTCTCAACATAGATCTTAGCCTCCTGCAGAGTTCGCTCTCTTGATGACTAGTTTGTTGTTAGTCATGCTAAACGAGTTGAGTGCGAGGTCATTTCTCGAACTGTAATAACCGAAATGTCTTGCCATTTCTATTTAAATCATCTACACAAAGCCTGAAGTCTTGCACAGACAACGCAGCTTATTTCGAACTCAAAAGTACGCATTGGCTTTGGAACAATTTCCGAGATTTCGGTTAACTGATCGGTGCCCACCTTCAGTTGTCACCAAATAAAT